TTATATATATATATGAATTTAGAATTGAATTAGAGCTTAGAATTGAATATACTATGAAAACCCTGTTAAATATTTTAAGATTATTGGTAAGTAATTGGGGTAACCCAAATACTGTCAAAGCAAGATAAATATTGAGGGAAAAATGTAACATCCCAGAAATTTCTGTTTCCTGTAAATTAATACATCCTAGCTCTGACTCCCAATGTATGACAGAATTTAAAGATGAATTATTCATCTCACTTTAATACACTCTGAAGTATCCTCAAAGAGATCAGAAATCCTGCAACGTTAGCATTGGGCAAGCATAACCCCGATTTTCAAAAAATAGAATTAGAAACTTTGGGCCATAGATCCTATGGAGTTTGTGATGAAAGTTATGAATATTCGTGGACACACAATGCCTCCCACAGAGAGCCAATAGTTACACGGACCCTGTGCCATCCCTCTGTATATAATATCATGCCAGGAATGTCAGCTATAGACAAAATGCCAGGACATGCCTGCCAGAGAGAGGCACCACGCAGAAATTTAAATTTATGGAGAAGCAGAACACACGTTTTTTCCTCTTTGTAAAGCCACTGCCTGGTAATCCTCCTCCCAAATACCGCAGTTATTGTCATGAGCTGTAGCAGATGTAGCTGAGGTTAGCTTTTTAGTTCTGTGTTCCTCTTAATGTAAAGAGACTCCCTTTGGTTTTCTTTTTAAAGGAATCTGGGGACTGTGTTAGAGTCAGTTGTGTGGTCACACTTGTGTCCTCGATGTCGCTGGGTAGCAACATGACTCATACCTCAGAGGCTGCGTGAGAACTAGCTCCAAGCCTACAGTGATACCAATTACATAACATTCACACTAAGTATTTAAAGTCTTCTGAGAGTATCAGGCAGACTTTTCTTCACAAAATTAAAAGGCGTGGTGTCTGACTTCCCTAAAATGGACCTGTTTCATTTTTTCCAGAAGTGCGGAAGTGAGGTCAAGGTCACAGAGGTGTAAGGGTGTGGATTTGCTGGTAGACCCCTCACAGGAGGTTGAAAGGGAAGGAATGCCCTGCTTTACAGCATTCCTTGATTTTCATAGTGTAAATACCCCACCATAGTTGATCTCTTGTTACCAACTAGATAATACTGAGCAGTGGCTTGGAAAGAGGGGTCCATAACATATTTCTGTAGCATTCTCATCATAGAGACACAGTAGGTACAAGCAACCTGGACAGCATGTGTGACAGTAAGTGTACAGATGATTTCTGAATAGATATTAATTTTGTGCTTACTGTACTTTATCTTTTTAAATCTTACAGGCTGATTTTTAGAAATCACTATTTAAAATCTGTTCTCATGCACTCCATAGCACAGGCTCCATGCCACACTGCTAAGAGTAGATTAAACATGCCTATCACCATTCACAAAACAAGCACAAGCTTTATCTGGGTGCCTTTGATGTAATTCAGTATGGAAACTTTTAGTGGGAGATGGCCTAGGAGCTGATTTCATTCCCTTCCCTCTAGCCCTATTATATCATGAAATGATTCATTCACCATTTGCAATCAAGCTGCTAGCCACATGGTTGTCTGGCAAAGTATGGTGATACACAGATGTGCTCTGTTTCATTTTCCAGATCTGAGCCAAAGGGCTGGACAATAACCTGGGGTTTAGCTTGGGTTTGTTCTGGTCTTCAAACTCTAGGATAAACCTACACTGATACTACACCATTGTCTTTTGAAATAAACTCTCCTTACAGAATCTCTCCCTTGCCCGTAACAGAAGCATAACACATGCATATTTATCCATTTCATATCAAGGGAATCCAGACTCATTAGCTGGTACCAGTTAAAATGGCAGCCCAAACCCTTTTATCTTGTGGGTGCGCTGTCCCTGCTGCAATCAGTGAGAGAAGGCTGTTCGCATCTCAGTCTGCATTCCAGCCAGCAGAAAGGAAGGGAGAGTGGAGAGGACTATTTCCTTCCCCCTGATGACAAGCCTTGGAGTCACGCACAGTCCTTCCATTTAAATATCAGGAAACCGAATCGAGTTTCAAAGTGATTGATAAATGCTTTATGTGGAACTGGTAGCAATGTATGCAGCTGTGAAGCATTATTTTTTTCTCTAAAGAAAGAGAGAGAAAGCACACTTAGCTATCTAGTGATCTACACTGTACTTTGTAAATACTTTCTAATGAAATTGTGAGTGCAGTAATATCTTTAGATGCAAGATTACTGGATGAAAATATCATTAAGAAGACTATCATAAGAGACACAAAAACACTGACCTGACAACCTCAACATTCTTCTATGATTACAATAATTACAATGTACAAAAATATTTTGTGTACTAACTGCTTCATTTTCCCAGTGGGAATACGTAACTAGGAGCACTAGGCAACAACGTTATATCACATGATTATTTCCATAAGGAACTGGGATGAGAAGCCACTTAACTGTTAAGAATCTGTGAACTTGAGCCTGTGATGCTTCGGCTTAGCATAGGCCCTGTGCTCATGGTTGTTGAAATAAAAATCAGAAGCAGTAGTAGAATAATTATTCCAAAGGAAAACGAAAGCCTCCAATTAAAAAAAATTATACACACAGAGGAATACTTTAAAATTACTATTTAGTGATATTACTCAAATGTGATGTTTCATGTGGTAAAATAGATTTCATTAATATCAAGTCTGGAAAAAACTGATAAATGAAATTGCAAACAGAAGGACAGCAACTCCATTTATTATCAATAACTATTATCATTGCTATCGGGGTCAAGGACGGAGCACTGGATAGCACCAACTCAGTGCCCTAGAAAATATCTTTCCAACACTTCTGCCATCTTGGGTTACATTCTATTCTCCCCTTTTACAGCTTCCTAATCTTTTTTATATTTTTATTTTTCTCAACTTTCCCATTCTCTCCTTATCCCTGAACTCTGTGGCAAAATATGTGGAGCTAACAATGATTAATAATATCTAATTTGTTTGCTTTTTATTATTGCTTCATAAACAATAATTAGTCTGTGCTTTTCCCTAAAACTAATTAATCATTTTAAATCTCATGACACTAAATGACAGAGTATGACTTACCTACACATAAAAATATTTTCTTATGTTTCAAACATGAAATCCTGACCCATAAAAATGTTTGAGCTGTCAATTTTATTTTCAAAAATATAAAAGAAAAATTGATGATGACAACACTGGGAAAAATCTAAACGGAACTAAACTCTGGATTATGTATCTCAATATTACAACTGTGATGAATAGTTGTATTTATTTCTTAATACATTAATAGGAAACATCATTTCTGGGAATGCAGATATTAATTATAGTATTGTATTGTAGCTATTTGATGTTACAATACTGTAAATTGACCAAAGAGACATAGAAAAATACATAGCACCTTCTATAAACAATCATAGCTAAAGAAACACACTAAATAGTATTGGGGTTAGGGTTAGGGTACGCTTTGGAAGACTCATAATATCTTTAAGAGTGTACTCCTCACCATATGGCCCCCAAGTCCTAAGAAGTCCCTGATCAATATACTAATGATATTTTTGAAATATTTTCTATACTTGCAATAAATATAATGAATTTTTGGACTCCACTAGTCATTAGACTATCATAAGTGTGCAGAGAGTAAATATAATATTCTTTGCTTTGGGCTACATTTTTATTAAGTTATTATATTAGTGCTTGTTATCAAGAAAACTACTAGAGGCATTTATTGATAATATGCCTTTGAGTGATAAACATGAAAATATATTTTTAATGCTACTTGATAAAAAAGTTTACTGAATAAAATCTTTTAAAACATTCTCAAGAAAATTTATAAAATGCCTTTGGGTAGCAAATAGTACAAAGCATTGTTTCTATTTTATTGCTCAAGTTATAATGATCAGAATTAATGATTCCACTGTGCATTTCAATAACCACATAACATGTAGAAAATTTAGTAGCTAAAATACTATAATGTTCACATATTTTGATTGAGACAAGTATTCTTATTTTGATTGAGGCAAAGATACTTGACCTTGCTTGTATTCATAATATTTTTTCATTTATATAATGTGCTATAGGTGTTTACATTAATCTTTTTTTTCCTCACAGATAACCTTTGGAGGCATACCTTTCTCTGGAAAGCCAAGTTCCAGTAGCAGAAAGAATTTTAAAGGCTGCATGGAAAGTATGAACTACAATGGGATCAATATTACTGATCTTGCCAGGAGGAAGAAGTTAGAGCCGTCCAGTGTGGTAAGGGCCGGCATGCCAAAATATTGGTCCATGAGAATCATCACAGAACTCTTTGTTGCATACAGGGTGTTGGATAGCCATTGCCAAATCGTATAATATTTCATCCTGGATGTGTTGGGTTCAACAGTGTAAAGTAGTGATGTAAAATAATGATAGATGGTCATTAATTAAAAATTCAACTTTGATGAAATTTTCTCATAAAATGTGTAGACAAGAGAAAAATAGTAATAGCTTCATTTATAGGTAGCACAGATTAGGTGTGTTATAAACATATCTAATTATCTGGGAAAAATTTTGCAGGAAAAATATCAAGATTTTTTGATGAGAACAGTAAGATTTCACCTGAAATAATCTTTCAAGGTTACTCTGGGTCATCAGTGTAGACTGTGGCCTCATAATATGTGAGTTCCAAGGTTATAGTCTTCTTCTACAATGTTATTTTTATCTATAGAATTCTTATATATAAGACAAGAATGCACACATATTATATACACATCCGTAGTGTTTTAAATTTTGGATGAAATGGCACCAGAATCCTCCTGTTTAGTTTTTCAGAAAATGTTGCTTAGGAAAGGCCCAGACTCTGAATTGTGATAATCTACTTTCCATTATTTGCACCTTTAAGAAGAGATAAAACATTACTTCTGCCCAGACTTCACTGGTGTTCTGGAGATGTGTTTATTCAGGACTCAGACTGCAAAGAGTTGTGCTAGAGAGACTCATTCCAAAATCAGCTGTAACTGCAAAATGTAATCTGGTTGTAAATGCAGTTTCAAATGTAAATAAGTAACAGGAACATTCCGTAAAATATAGATGCTCTATAAATATATTCTTCTTTAACAAATAATTATATGGGCAGACATAGAAGAAGTTTTTGAATCAAAATATACATGCATACTGACAATTTTAGGCAAGACAAAGAAGAGCAGGGCATTTCCTAAGCACCCCTATCAAAGAAAATATTTATATAGCAAATTTGCTTCCAAAGTGCTAGGTCCTGATATTTTAGTGAAACCGCCCCAGTGTTCATCCCACCCCATCTCTCCACAAACTCATTTCCCCATTGTGTGCCCACTCCAGAGTCAGCCCCATTACTCAGAAAGTCTTTAATTTTTCTGAGAGAAAATCTCATCACACAGGTATGTGGTCAGTGACAGCATTTCAGCTATTAAACATAGGCAGTTCTTTCCATTGGCAAGAAAGCAAGCCCTTAGAAACAATTTTCTGTGAAGATACAGAGCAAATTTTATTTGAATATTAAGCTGGAGAGACAACCTGCCTTAGATTTAGTGGTTAATATGCTAAAATGGAACAGTGAGGTATCTTAAATATATGTAGTGCTGTAATAAACATGCGTGCATACATGCATAGATGTGTGTCTACTACACAGAAGTATGAACAAGAGAGACAGTTGACTAAAATGTCACTAAATTATACTCTTCAAAATATTAAAGTTGGATAAAAGAAGTTAGAAGCAAACGTATCTTAGGTCTTTAAAGGAAAAGGACGTAGGCACTGGAATGTATAATTCAGTGTGTACGAATGGTGACTAAAAGTCTTTGTTTATACCAAAAGTGCGTGTGTAGTGATAGTTCCATAAACATTAATGCATTGTGATATAAACACACCTCCTGAAATTTTAAATGGGTTTTGAGTTAGTCAAAAGCAATTAGTTATAGAGATGTTAAATGGTTAATGTTAATCCACAGACAGTAGCTATGTAGATAAACTCAAAATTTGCTGCACAATGTGAGGCTAATGCATAATTAACACAGAAGCACAGTGGAGCCCAGAGACCAGAGGCATCATGTACTGATGGACACTGGCCTTGCTGTGGAGAAGAGGGCAAGGGCCCGGCGCTCCTCAGCCTGGACGCTGCCAGCATTAGCGCTGTGTCACTGTCTCCCGAAGGTCCAGCGGTCCGCACCCAAGCCCCAAACACAGGCACTCAGGGTGTCCGGTGGTGAGCCCATGAAGCCAGGGGACAGCTGTCTGTGCGATGCTTAAACACCCTTGCCTAGGTGGGCAGCTGTTGCGCAGTATCAGGTCTCACACTCCAGGAGATTCCTGATGATTCTGCTCACGCGCCGTGCTGCAATGCTGCCTGCTGTGTGCGCGGCACCATCTCAGGCACCGCTTTGAGACTTTTAGATTACTTTATGTAGAGTTTTCTCACATAGGTGCTTATTTTGTTCCCCATTCCCCTCAAAGCCAATCTCTTTCTGTTTTGTAGGGGAACTTGAGTTTCTCTTGCGTGGAGGCCTACACAGTACCTGTCTTTTTCAACGCAACCAGTTACCTGGAGGTACCCGGGCGGCCGGAGCAGGACCTGTTTTCAGTCAGTTTCCAGTTTAGGACTTGGAACCCCAATGGTCTTCTGCTTTTCAGTCGCTTTGGGGACAACTTGGGCAACGTGGAGATTGACCTCACAGACAGCAAAGTGGGCGTTCGCATCAACGTCACACAGGCCAAGATGAGCCAGATTGATATTTCCTCAGGTCGGTGAAAATCTTTGACACTTGCTGCTTAAACTGCTCTTGCGGTTCCCAAGGCCCATAGTGTGCGTCTTCCTGTATAAGCGGTATCAGATGTGCCCGATTATGCTTTAATTCAGATTTTTGAGATAGTTTCTTGTTTATATTGTGGGATGATTGAATAGTGAAAGCTCAGAGAATTACTACAAGGGTGAAGATTGGGCAGGACAGAAAGTCCAGATTGCCTTAGAGTATCGAAATCTTCTAATCCTTACAAACACTTACTTATATTTAATAGAGAAACTGGTATTCTCTTACGTGAACATTTTATTTTTAAAACCAAAAAATGTCTGTAATAACATGGAAATATCTTCAGTCTTTTCATTTCGTGCATTAGAAAACCTTTCATTGTCAGTAACAAGATTATAGTAAATGGTAAATTTAAAAGAATGTTCAGCTACCTCAAGCAAAACTCCACAGTGATCCTACTAAAAATACACAAATGGTCAGAAAAATTCCTAACAGTTGAATAACAAGTGGAATGACAAAGTTAATATGTGTATCAGCTGGAGAGAATGGTAAACTAAATAGGGTCCTTTTTGCTGTTGTTGTCTTTTTGAGACAGGGTCTCACTCTGCAGTTTAGGCTGGCCTTGAGCTCACTTTGTAGCCCAGGCTGGTCTCGAACTCACAATGATCCTCCTGCCTCAGCCTCCTGAGTGCTGAGATTACAGGCATATGCCACCATGCCAGCTAAATAGTGTCCTTTTAAAACTTGGTATTGTAGTGATCATAAGCTGAGGTTTAGATACCATTCACTGAGACTTAGTGATGTTGGCATAGTGTCTGAATACTATGGTACAAGCTAAGCTGTTATTCCCAAGTGAGGTATTATAAACCACAAAAAATTAAGCACAATGTAGGACCAATAAACAGTAAATTATTTTACCAGACTCTGTCTAGATAAAGTATAGCAGTCTATAATCTTATAGCAGTACTCTTATAGCAGTCTTATTTTTGTGTGTGTGATGAACAACTTAGAATAGGAAACTGAAAAAATATTTGCTGAGCAGTTAGTAGAGATATACCCGTCACTGAGAAAGTCAGGACAGAGAGTTCAAGTGCATGACTGTGGGCTCCAGTTTGTAAACTGTGCATGTTATTTCAAGATGCACTGTGCGTACACACAGCATGGTTTCCAACTCATAATACCATTACATCCACCATATTTCCCCCAGAGCTAGAAGCTCCTTGCAGGCAGAGGCCACACATTCTTCCATCTCTTGCTTGGACAACAGCACCTAGAAGAAGATCTCTAATCATGCTCAAGTTCAGTGCTCTACTGAAACATTGATTTTATTGTACAATGAGCTTTGTGCTTCCATGTGGACTGTAACCAAAAAGCATTCAAGGAAGTTATGAGAGCCGTTCTATCACAGATGTATCTGGGTTATTGAGATCTAAGGCTACTGTGAAACACATAGCTACGCAAGTTCTCTTTTTGCTCCGTGTTTTGCTTTTTCTCTGTCTGTTCAATTAAAGTGATTGGTCAGTCATATTTTATTATTTTTTCCTGTATAAGCTTACCTGGGGAGATCCAGAGCAAATAGAAAATATCTGGAGAGACCAAAATAGGATAAAATAAATACACATAAAATGTTTACCACAGTTGAAAATCCCTCCACAGTTAAGATTATAGATTCTTTGCTAATAACTCAGTATATACAAGTGTTAGTATGAGTCCTCCCTCCTGGGATTCTCTGAACAAACCCAACTTGCTGGTGGGCTTCCAGGTAACAGAAACCACGCTATTCGAAATAATTAGATCTAAACATAGCGGCTGATAAACACTTATTAATTTGATTTGGTCTAATTTATGACTCCACCCTGTTTTCATCTAATTTACTGTGTGTTTTAAAAATAAAAGGAAGACATAATGAATACAGCAATTGAATTTGTGACCATTTTTGAAGAAGTACTAGAATTTAACCCAATGCGCTCCCAATGCGCTACATCCCAAGTCCTTTCTACCTATTTTGAGGCTGAATCTTGCTGTGATACTAAGTTGCCCAGGCTGAACTCAAAGTTGTGATCCTCCTGCCTCAGCCTCCCAGAGTGCTGAGATTACAAAAGTGTGCCGCTCTGCCTGGTTCGTAGATGATAACTCTTAATTAAATACTACGCAACATGAGTTTTACCTTCTTTTTGGTGTATGTTCTTAATACTGAAAGAAATATTCTTACTGGGTATGGTAGGGACATGTGTAATCTCAGCACTTGGGATGCTGAGGCACTAGGATACAGATTCAAGCTCAGCCTGTGCAACACAGCAGCTTGGGGAGATCCTGTCTCAAAATAAACACCTGACAAAGGGCTGCAGACGTAGCTCAGTGCAAAGGCCCCCAGTTCAATCTACAGTACCGTCAACAAAAAGGCAGCTTACAAGGTTTGTGCATTTAGTCAATAGTCAAGAATGCATGTAAAGGAAACTTATAGAAAATATAAACATTTCTTACTGTTTGATAGACCAATGAAAATATCCAAGTTTCCAATATGGGGGTTTATTTTTTCTGTTCTTTTTTTTTTTTTTTTTTTTTTTGCTATACACATAGTGGACACCAAGGACTCCTTATTTGTCATTGTTCACATTTGAGGGAAAATACCACAGTAAAAATACCCTTTTTAAAAGAAAAGCTGTATCTTCTATTTATTCATTCTAAGACTACATATGTAGTTCATAGAAGACTTTTCATCTGTATTTTAACAATTTCAATGAACATTAAGATAACTTAGCATCAGCAGCAGCTCAGAGAAAATATGTGACCCAAGAGTAGTACTAGTGTTTCCTTGAACAAAAGAAATAAACATATTCTACGTCTACTCTCCTCTCACCAAGATGAACATTGAGAATGTCAGTCTATTTTTGTTCTCTTTGGAAGTGTCTTGGCTGCAAAAACTTTGAAAATGAGAAAATCTAGAAAAGAAAAATACCTCCAAATAATATTTTTGTTCACACAGAAAGCAGCGCATTGGGAGGTCAATTTAGGAACTCTCAGATAATAAATCTTACAAGCAAGAGAATATCCAATATATTGCTTATATTCCCTTTGTCCCTTTACCTCCGAGTTGGTAGTACTTTCTAAGAGTCTCATTAGATATTGATGGTTGACTCAACTTATAAAATTTAGCTGAATCCTGAGTAGGCTTGAATTTGCAGAGTGAGTTATTTTTCCATGTAAATATTTTCCAAGCTGCCATATCATTTAAGAAACATTCATATAGATACAGATATAGATGGTATTTACTGACATTTGAATGCACACTTAAGCTCTTACTTTCAGGAATGAGGAGAAAAAGAAATACTAAAAGGTGTTTAAAAGGATCTGAAGGACACTATTTGGTCCCTCTGGGAGTTAATTTTTATTTTATCTTTCAAATCCAGAATCCTGGGGAGGATTGAAACCTATACTTTCAAATGATTTTGATCAAAACATAGAAGATATTTTATGTCATGCTCAATATTCACTGTCATACAGTTTCATAGACTAAAATTCATTTTGCTTCTTGAAGGGCACTCTGATAATTTTGGTGTTTTCTTTTTCTGTCCACTTTTTATTGAAAACCTTGACAGGACACATTACAATGATCTCAGGCTCCAAAAACAGTCTGGCGTACTCTGGACTACAGGTTTGTCTTCTCATTTGAGAAGCTGGAATTTAAACTTTCTAGATGCTTGAGGTTGTTTACTCCATTATTTCATTTGGAGCACTTAATATATGATCTAGGAAGACTACTGTAATAAGAACATTGTTATAAGGGTAATTAGAAATTACTAAGATATATTACTATCTAATGTAGAACCAAAATTACAATCAAAAAACCTACCTACTGTTTGAAATGCGATTTTATTGTAAAAAAGCTCAATATTATATTACCAACACAAACAAATATTTAGAACAATAGTAAATTTTTCTGTGCTCATATTAATATGGTTGTAAAATGTGGTTCAGCATGTGTATAATGGAAAGAAGATGATTTTCATGCATGAAATCTCTCACCTATTGAGAAAAAACATACCGATATCTGTCCATATATAAACAAGCCTTTGGGAAAAAATCATTCTGAATTTGTCCAGATCCTGAATCAACTGTTCAGCTAAGCTCAAGCATTTGAACCTCCCTGGTTTGTTTATGTAGAAACTGCTTGAATTTAGATGATGTTTAGCATCCCCACCACTTTTGAACCTGTATTCAGCTAAGATCATCTTTGTTTGTGTTTGTCTCCAAAGTAAATCCTCTGTGGCCTGCCATGTCCAGCACCACCAGCAGGATTCTGAGAGATTAAGAAAAAACTAGACACATACTAAAAGGAAAACTGGGACCGGGTGATACCTGGCCTCTCTGATGGAGAGGTATCGACAACCCAGAGTGGTCCGCACCTTTATTTATACACAGTAAAAAAGGGGGCAAGCGCCTGATGGCGTCAAAAGTGCAATGTCTCAGTGTTTTGCTGAGGACACTGAAAGTGAAATGTTCTCAAAGCTATCTGTGCTGTAGTTAACAGGGAGGAACACCAAGGCCAGTCACTCACTGGACTGGCCTTGCTCTAGTCCCAAGGTGTTTCCCACCGTTAGCTCAGCAGCGGTCAGACATTCCCCACAGTGGCTTCATTTTATTTCCTTTTTATCTTTGTAAAATTTCCTTAGCAAAGTTTTGAGTCTCACTGGGATGTGCTAGGGAAGATGGAGGTGTTTTCTTGGGTTTGTGTATGGCTGAAATTATGCTGGGAATACTGGCCACAGTCTGAGTCAACCTAGACACTGGAAGGTGTTGAGTATTTACTGCTGCATTAAGCAATAGAAAACTTCTTCTCTTGACTGTGAACACTTTAAAAAGTAGTGAATGCTTCTTTAAAAGAATGAAGTCATCCCAATTTCCCATATCCAATGATAACTGGTATTGTGAGGTATCTTTCTTCATCGCTTCAGGAAAAAACAATCCCCTTTAGGATACAATTTTTATGTTTT